CATCTTGGCTCTTTCCACAGTTTGGCTATTGTGGACATTGCTGCTATAAACATTGGGGTGCATGTACCCCTTCGGATCCCTACATTTGTATCTTTGGGGTAAATACCCAGTAGTGCAATTGCTGGATCGTATGGTAGCTCTATTTTCAACTGCCATATACTTTTAATTGGCCATATTCACTTCCAAAGCCTTAAAAGAAGTTTCAAATTTACTTTTTTAAGATTTTGTGGGGGAGGGCACCTGGGTGGCTCAGTTGGTTAACCATCTGCCTTTAGCTCGGGTCATGATCTCAGGTCTGGGATCAAGCCCCACATTGGGCTCCCTGCTCAGCAGGGAGCCTGCTTCTCCCTCTCCCTGCTTCTCCCCCTGCTTGTGCGCTCCCTCTCTCTCTGACAAATAAATAAAATATAAAAAAAAAAAAAGATTTTTTTTTTTTTAAGTAGTCTCTACATCCAACGTGGGGCTTGAACTCAAAACCCCGAGATCAAGAGTCACATGCTCTACTGACTGAGCCAGCCAGGTGCCCCTTGAATTTATTTTTTATATCTGGGTCTTTTTCTAAGTTAAAAGTTCTGCATGCAAATTAAAATTACATACAGTACTCCTATAGGGCAGCCCACTTCTTTGAAATATTTCCTGTAGAAACTGTTAGAAAATGGTAACTTTTCCATAGAAACATGTTGCACTTGGAAAACTTGCTTTTGACAAGGAGTTGGCAACAAGTTAATAATGGATTTTTTTCAACAACATGACTTAAAAGCAAATATATAACAACTAAAAATATTCTATAATCATTTTACATAGTAAACTCATTTGCACAGCCTCATGAAATGTACATAATTATGGTTATACATTGATCCTACAGAGGGATCCTAAATACTATTTTTTTAAAGGTTTATTTTGAGAGAGTGAGAATGAGAGAGAGAGTACATGAGAGGGGGGAGGGTTAGAGGGAGAAGCAGGCTCCTCGCTGAGCAGGGAGCCCGATGCAGGACTCGATCCCGGGACTCCAGGATCATGACCTGATCTGAAGGCAGTCGCCCAACCAACTGAGCCACCCAGGAGCCCCGGATCCTAAATACTATTAAGTGATGTCCAGCTCATAAATACATACACCTTTTTTGTAGGTTAGAATTCCTTTAGCTAAAAGCAAATAGTTAATAATTTGGCCTGCTTTTTTTTTTAGAATTTGTAAAGACATCTTGAGGGGGTATGGAGTAGATTGGTCTTATACAAGCAGGCTTTCACAAGCAGGCTAGGAATTCTGGATATGTTGCCATTTCCCCCCCCGCTTGATTTCCCTTTCTTTTTGAGAGACATTTATGACCACTTGTTTGGCTGTAGGTTACATTCAAATTTGAAACCATTCTTTTGAGAAGAGACCATTGCAGCATCTCAGCATTTAAAGAGCCTTGGCTGTCGTTCAGAATGGACTGGTATCTTGAGAGGGTTTGAAAAATAAGGGTCTCTAGAATTGAGCCTTCTTGCCTCCTTTCCCCTACTCTTTCCTAATACCCGATCGATACTGAGAAGAGCACTAAAGAAGTCACAGAAGGGAGCCCTGTGGGGTAGAGCTGCTTCTTCCTTCTAGGCTGCCCTGTATTCGGCTGCAGAAACCTTTGAGGAATTGGGCACAGATGTAGGAGTCAGTGAGATGGCAGCTTCATTAGAAAAGTGGGAATTGGCTGTGAACAACTTCCAGATGCCCGTATCCTGAACGTTATAATAACCTGTCCCATCCTGATTATGAGTTCAAATCATTTAGCAAATGAAGTTGAAATCATGTATTTCTTGGATAACAATAGTTTTCCAGTAGACCCAAAAGGAAAGAGTAACTTCATTGATAAGTTTTTTTGTTTTTAAAGATTTTATTTATTTATTTGAGAAAAAGAGAGAGCACAAGCAGGGGGAGCAGCAGAGGGAGAGGGAGATGTGGGGCTCTATCCCAGGACTCTCGGATCATGACCTGAGCCAAAGGCAGACGCTTAACCGGCTGAGCCAGCCAAGCGCCCCCATTGATAAGTTTTCAAACACTTTTTACCGATAGGTTTTTTTCTTTCAACAAGTATTTATTGATCCTCTCCTATGTGTCAGGTACTGTTTTAGGCATTGGGATATGATAGTGACCAAAACAGACAAAAATTCTTATCTTCATGGATCTTGCATTCTAAGTAATACCATTAAGTAATAATCAGACATTATTTTTATTGATTTCTCAGCCTTCAGATAGGATTTTTATTTCTGTTTTGAAAGATCTGAACTATGGCTCCTGTCCTAGGAGAGGTAGACAGATGGCTAACAGTCTTGACCTGCAAGGGCAAGATTTTCTAAGGTTGTCCCAGCACACCTATTTCAAGTCCTCCTAAAGTAAATAGTAGCCTTAAGTGGAAATACAAAAAAAGCCCTCCGTATCAGCATCTATCTACAATGATACCATGAATTAGCAATGAATGAAAAAGCTTAAAAGAAAACTATTTCCTAGTAATCATCACCAGAAGACATTTATGTTATTAACACCAACTGTTTATTCTTTCTGTTGTAGAAAGTATCCCTAAAAGCCAGATAGTTGAAAACTTCCTTCCCCCCTTGTGCAGCCTATTTTTTTTAGTTTTAACAAGCTGAACACCCATATAGGTAGTGAATGTGCTTTTTAAAATGAATTTCAAAAAAGACCCTTATTCTTTAAAAATATTTATCAGGGGTGCCTGGGTGGCTCAGTTGGTTGGGCAACTGCCCTCAGCTCAGGTCATGATCCTGGAGTCCCGGGATCGAGTCCCGCATCGGGCTCCCTGCTCGGCGAGGAGCCTGCTTCTCCCTCAGACCCTCCCCCCTCTCGTGCTCTCTCTCTCTGTCTCATTCTCTCTCTCAAATAAATGAATAAAATCTTAAAAAAAAAAAAAAAAAAATATTTATCAGGCCTGTTAAGTAAAGTAACAAGTGTTGATATTCTTTTTTATTCTATGAAGTAATGGAGCCCTTTGGGAAGACTGTGTCTGTGAGATAGGTAAGCTCTTTGTTAATTGTCCTCACAGGAATGTTGAGAGAATTAACAGTCAAATGTTTATAAATTCTTGTGTTTCTTGATTGAAAGGTGTTGCAAGTATTATTACAATAGGATTAAGTTACAGTTATTGAAGAATTCAGAGTGATAAGGCCTAGCTTCGTAGGAGGCACTCAGTTTTTAAAATTGACATGGATTTCTCCATGATGAGTAGTGCAGGCATGAAGCTTTCTCACTATATAGTTCATATCCTTAGAATAAGTTAAGCACTTATTTGGGTCTCAAGAAGATCCCTTTTTTCAGCAAGTACTAATATATTCTACAATTCTTCTTAATTACAGAAAAAAGAAGAATTCGTAAAAACTTTACCAAAGAAGAAGTAAATTACCTTTTCAATGGAGTTAAGAAAATGGGAAATCACTGGAATTTAATTTTGTGGTCTTTCCCCTTTCAGCAAGGACGGAAGGCTGTGGACCTTGCTCACAAATACCACAAGCTGACCAAACGTCCCAAGTGTGCAGCTCCTTGATCGGAATACTTGTCAGTTTTTAGTTTGAACTCTTAAAATACAATGCCTTGAGAAAACACAATTTAAAATACTCTTCTGAACTCTCATGAAGCAGGGAATCTAAAAACAGGAATACTGTTCTAATTACATACTTTTTGTGACACTTTGTCTCATCGAATTATTAATTTATAAAACAATACATTTTTAATGTGTGATTAGTAAGACAAAATTCCTTTATAAGGTCAAACATTCATTTAGGAATATGCTTTTATTTTTCCTTAGGCTTACCTGTGTTCCTTAAGAGGAACACAGGTCCAGGTCAGAGAAAAAAAGTGATCAGCCTTTAAACATTATTTGACATTATATTGTAATGGATACCATGTGAGACATTTGGATTTTAGTATATTCTTACCCAGTGAAAGTTCTTCCCCGGAACTTAGAATAGTTTCCCAAGCTGTTCAAGTGAAGTTCCCACACATTAAATCAATGTTTGACATTTTGTTAACTAAAATGTTCCTCTTCTAAAGGCTGATTATGTAGTTCCTTTGAATACTCCCAAATTCTATGGTCAGGTTCACTTCTTTTTGGTGTATGTTTATTTGTTTTGCTTTTCAAAAACTGAGAACATTTTTTTGTTCATTTTTAAGTTAGTTTTCTTCTAGTGGAAAACCAAACTATTTGATCTCAATTTTCTATTTTTCTTATTTTTATATTTCTATCATGATCCCCAAAGGATGCTGTTGCAGCCTTTATTATACTTAAAATGCTATTGCTGTGGCAAGGTGATTAAGTATCAGGGCCTGAAACCTCACGTGTACTTATATAGCCATCGGCTCACTGCTTCATGTCATTGTAGATTTCTTCAGTCCCAGAAGTTATTTCCCTGTAAGTTTGTATCCTTTGACCTTTTCACATCATGACTCTCTCTACTTTGATAAACTCAGAGTTTTTATTAAATTTTTAATTTTCTGATCCATAGTGAAAATTCCAGAGAGCCAATATGCAGAAAATTTTCTATTTAAATCCAAAATTTCCTTTAAAGGAAAGAATAATTTACAATTAGGAAAATTCCTTAAAGCATTTAAAGTGTGAATGAATCTAGTCCATTATCTGTCAGTATTTCGTAAGCACTATGGAGATTATTTAAATAGTCTGGTCGGTTATTTCGATTTGTACTTCTCAAGATTTATGCAAGTTATTTTAGGTCAAAAGGGAAAACATTTTGTCTGTTGTTTAAGCCTTACCAGTTTAGATAATCAGAAGTTATTTCTTAATATTGTTCAAATACGACATAAACATATTTTTCCACTTCACTTGGGTCTCAGGTAATAGTTCTTTTATTTTTTTTTTTAATTTTTAAAAAGATTTTATTTATTTGACAGAGAGAGACAGTGAGAGAGGGAACACAAGCAGGGGGAGTGGGAGAGGGAGAAGCAGACTCTCCACTGAGCAGGGAGCCCGACACGGGGCTCGATCCCAGGACTCTGGGATCATGACCTGAGCTGAAGGCAGATGCTTAACAACTGAGCCACCCGGGTGCCTCGATAGTTCTTTTATTGATTGGAAATTATGTATGTAACAGAAAAATCAAACACTGCTTAAGGGAAGCATCCCCAAAAATATGACATACTGTAGCTTAGACACTGATTTGTGTCAGTTATTGAGGCTATATTTAAAGATTTTTCCTTTTTCTTTTTTTTTTTTTTGAGACAGAGAGAATGAGAGAGAGAGAGAGAGAGCACATGAGAGGGGGGGAGGGTCAGAGGGAGAAGCAGACTCTCTGCTGAGCAGGGAGCCCGATGCGGGACTCGATCCAGGGACTCCTGGATCATGACCTGAGCCGAAGGCAGTCGCTTAACCAACTGAGCCACCCAGGCGCCCTTGAGGCTATATTTAAATTAACTAATATTGGGGCACCTGAGTGGCTCAGTTGGTTGAGTGTCTGACTCTTGGTTTCAGCTCAGGTCATGATCTCAGGGTTTGTGAGATCGAGCCCCTCATTGGCTCCGTGCTGGGCATGGAGCCTGCTTAAGATTCTCTCTGTACTTCTGCCCCTCCCCCCCAAATAATAATAATAAAAAGAAAAGAAAATAACCAAAACTCTATTGCCTTCTGAAATACTGAAATTTTGTCCTAACCCTTGACTAACTTTTGGTTAGCACGAGCTGCTCTTTTCCTTCAAATGGCAATATTTGGTAATAAAATAAATGCCATATCAAAAGAAAGCCAAAGAATGATGACAGAGAACTGTATGGCTTTAGGAATTCAGACCTGGCCAAATCAACTGGGAATAAAAAATGATTTTAATAATGACAGACCTTTGGAGTTGGAACTGACCTCAGTTATAGTTTGCTGCCAGAGGCATGAACTGCTGTACCTGGCCATTGGTGGCTCTCCTTAATTTTACAAAAATCCTCAGAAACATGGAGTTTACTACTTAGGGTAATAATTGATGGTCATTTCTTTCTTACATTAAAATGAAATGTGCTTTCCTCGAGCACCTTTTGTAGAACCACAAAAGTTGAATTTCTTTTCCACATGCCAGTCTTTGAGAAAGGCAAAGATAGATATCCATCACTTTCCCCTTTTCCCTCTACATGCTTTATCCTTCATGCTGATAAGCCCCAGTTACTTCCGCAGAACAGTGTCATGTCTCCTATGAACTTAGTCACTGGCCACTGGACACTTTTTTTTTTTTAAGATTTTATTTATTTATTTGACAGAGAGAGGGAACACAAGCAGGGGGAGTGGGAGAGGGAGAAGCAGGCTTCCCGCGGAGCAGGGAGCCCAATGTGGGGTTCGATCCCAGGACCCTGGGATCATGACCTGAGCCCAAGGCACACGGTTAATGACTGAGCCACCCAGGCGCCCCATCTTGCTAGATTTAATCTGCACCGAGTTTGTCATCCAGTATATTAGGCATCCCTTCCTGCTTCAGGTCATCCACAGCGTGAGTGTGCTGCTGCTTTCTCATCCAAGTCACTGATGGCAACTTGAGTTGGCTGGGCCAGGATGAGAGGTTGGGCAGGCTCCTAGCAGCCTCTGGTTGTCCCTGCTCATTGGCCCCCTCTGGGCCTGGTCTTTAACTTGCCTCAATGCTATCATTCAGCTTACATTTTTCACTTTCTTGTCTATGATGTGAATTGTCAGATGCCCTGTTGAAAACTGCATTTGCTGTGTCTGCAACATCCTCCTGCCTGGTATTCCTGCAAAAAAGAAAAAGACTGTAAATCTAGTCCTATCTTTTCCTTTTCCAACTGGTCACATTAGAGAATTTTACCTAGGGCTGATAAGTTCACTGGTCTGTAGTTTTAAACTCCATCTTCTATCCTGTGAAAATTCAGATTTATGACTTGTAACACTTTCAGACTTCCAAGGGTGTAACTCTTAATGGGTTTTCACTCTCATTGTCTTATTTGAACCTTACATTCAGGTTGGCAGATGCTATGCCCATTTGTTGGATCCTGTAACTCTTGCTGCTAACATTTGGCAGAGCCGGATCAGAATTCTGCTTTGAAACTCATGTAGGTGGTTGCTTTTCCGCCATATCCCACTTCCTTGTGATATTTAGAAATGCCTTATAAAGTGAGCTGTTTGAAGATAGCAAGATCTCTCAGAGGCCACACCTAAAGTTAAGCTGGATAGGTGAAATGTACTTGTTTTTTCCCATTACTTTATTTCCCCTTGTCGCTTCTTGACCTTTATCCTTTACATCTTTTTCATTCCTTCAACCCCCCACCCCAAGAAAGGAAATTAAAGCCGCCTATTTATGGTGTGAAATGCTGGCTCCCTGGAAATACCATTTTTTAAAAAACCCTTTAATAAACTCGAGTGTATTGTTTACTGCGGCAAAGATCACTACCTTGCAGTTTTAATAGGGTTAAGGAAAGACGAGTTGAAAAGCGGGATATTTATGAGGATTTGAGGGTCTAGTTTAAGGTTGATCTTTCAGTGCGGGGCTTGGTGAGAATTGGGCAGAGTTCATGATATAATAGTTTAACCTCAGTGAATAAGATTGAAGTACTGGGATGCTATCTTCTGGTACTGGGGTTCTTTGGGAAGGTTTCTTAAGCTTTCCAAGCTTCAGGTTCCTCGTCTGTGAAAGGGTTAGATACATTCAGTGAGATAATGTGTGACTGTGGCACAGGTAAGCGCCAGATAAATGGCGCTGTCGTGCATTGGTCTCACTCCAAAGACTGAACTTTTCGCGTCAGCCCACTTGGCTTCCTGGCCCCCGACGGCGCACCGCGAGCGCAGAGCTGGGCGAGGACCCCAGGCCGGGTGCCGCTGCGCCCCTTGGCCGGCAGAGGCCGCCCGCGCGCTCTCCGTCCGGGCGGCTCCCCCTCCAGCCGCCGTCGCCTCTCTGCGCATGGCTGCCCCGGCCGCCGCCTGACCGCCGCCCACCTTCCACCACCGCGGCGGCCTCTCGACCCTGTGGGAGCTCGCGGACATCGTGGGCCCGGCGGAGCGCGGCGGGCGGCGTGGACCCTACAGGGCGGGCGGCGTGAGGTGTGGCGCGGGGGGCGGCGGGCGGCAGGCGGCCCGGCCAGGGTCCTCGCGGGTCCTCGGCGGGCCCGGGGGAGGGCCCTCTTTGTGGCTGCAGTTGGCAAGATGGCGCCGGTGGGGGTGGAGAAGAAGCTGCTGCTGGGTCCCAACGGGCCTGCCGTGGCGGCCGCCGGCGACCTAACCAGTGAGGAGGAAGAAGGTCAGAGCCTATGGTAAGACAGCGAGGCGGCCGGGCCAAGCCGGCTGGGCCCAGGAGGGCGCGGCCGGACGGGGAGCCGGCCGGACTGGACTGGACCGTCGGACGGTCTGACGGGCCGTCGCGGGCAGGGTAGGTCCAGTCGGGTCCAGGCTAGCCCTGGGCTGACCGCTTCGCTGTTGTCCCCATAGGTCCTCGATCCTGAGCGAGGTGTCTACCCGCGCCAGGTCCAAGCTGCCGTCCGGCAAGAACATCCTGGTCTTCGGTGAGCGCCGGAGGCGGGGCGTTGCCCGGGGAGCTGGGGTGGGCGAGACGGGCG